TATAATAGAAAGTGTTTTCAGAATTCTGACATTTTCCTTTTCATGTCAGTATAGCACACGGCAATGTGAAATTAGTCTTCTTATAAGCTGGCCCCATATAAGCTTACCCTTTTCCCTCTCTGATTTACTTTCAACTGAGTAATCTTTTTAAAAAGCATCACTGATTATATTTCTCACCTGTTTAAAACCCCTAAATCATTCCCCACCATTTCTAAGTCCAAAGTCCTGAATATGCCTAGAAGTCACCTTCTGTCCCTTCCCTTCTCTCCAAGGCTCACCATGGCTATTTTCTATCCCTGAAACACAGCCATCTCTGTCCCACCTCAAGGCCCTGAACTAGCCATCATCTACTGGAAATACTATGACCCTTTTCATGGTTGTCAATTTCTCATATTTCAGTCCTTAAGTTCAAGGTCACCGTCCCAGAAGGACTTGCCTTAAAAAAGCCTGTTGCCCCTTTTACTCACTATTATATCTCCTCCTAAGCATGAATCACAATCTGGAATTGTTTTAAATTATTTGCATACTTATAAAGTGCCCAACTTAATGGAAGTTTCTTGAGGTCAAGAACCTTGTGGTGGTGTGCCGTCAAACATTTAACAATATGTTCTCAAAAACAAAACAAAACAGAAAAAGCCCTGATTTGTAGCATTTGCCAGTTTCCATGCTGCAAATACTACCACCATGGTTATTTTTAAACAACAATGTGACATTATCCAGCTGACAAATTTTCCTGAAAGTTTAACAATCAACCCAGTGCGGGCCAGCACCAGCACACCAGGGGCACCTTGTTTGGCTTATTGAGTACTGCACATAAATAGAACCAGGACAATGCCAGGCACAGAGTAATAGTGCAATAAATGTTAGCGGAACGTTCCTTTGGGATAAAATAATTCTCAGTTCCATCAAATACAGATTGTAGCTAATTGAGTCTTTTTTTTCTTTCTTTTTTTTTTTTTTTGGTGTTCTAGCTTCTAAATTATATAAAAGTTCCCTAAAATGTGTAGAAAATTACTCCAATGGGTCACCAAAATAGGATCCTAAGTGAAGGGGGACTCTTGCCTCCTAACAATCTTTTTGCTACCCTACTTCTTTTTGAATCCTGAGAGACTAAATGATTTCTGCTGGCAAGGGCAGAGGGCTGTCCATGAGAGGACAAGCAAACAGATCTAGGAAGGTTGTAGGGGACCGGAAAGGCATGTTCCAGACAAATTTTGGCAGTGTTTGGGCTTGGAGGGGTGATGAGGTTGAAGGGATGAGGTTGGAGAGTGGAGACAACTGCTGTGCTCTTGATGACAACAGAGGTGAGCCAGGCAAGGAGGAACGTCTAAAAGTTTTGCTGGGAGTTACAGATGGACTCCTCACTGCCATCCCATGGAGGAACTTTCCTAAAGACTTCAAATGTTTTCAGTGCTGGTTTTGGATGTTAACTGTCTCATCTGATGAGACACACACTAACTCTGGCCCAAGGGAGCAAACTTGGTTGTGTTACCCATATCCCTGCACTCTCCACAGCTGCACACCTGGGCCTTCAGGGGCCTGCACTGCAAATGTGGAGTGAAACCCAGAGCCATGGATATGCTGGAAGGACTTGAACCATCCATAGAGATACCAGCAGTTCACACTTCACTGAAGCAAGGGATGCCTATGTTATGGACTGTTTGTGTTCCTCCAAAATTCATACATTGAAATTCGAATCCCCAGTATGATAGTATACTACATTTGAAAGTGGGGCCTTTGGAAGATGATCAGGTCATAAGGGTGGAGCTTTCATGAACGGAATTAGTGGTCTTATAAAAGAGAGCACAGAGAGCTCTTCCTCCCTCTTTCTAGATGTGACAACACAAGGAGAAGGCAGCTGTCTGCAAGCCAGGAAGACAGCCCTCACCAGAACCTGACCATGCTGGTACTGATCTCGAACTTCCAGTCTCCAGAACTGTGAGAAATAAATTTCTGTTGTTCACTCGCCACCTGTTCTAAGGTTCTTTGCTATAGCAGCCTGAACTGCCTAAGATGCCACGTTAGGGCAAGGTGTCTGGCTTCTTGAAGCTTCCCAGAATAAGTGGGGAGGCAGTCCCTGGCCTATTAGTGTCTCAAGACCTTATACTGGTCCCTTTCGTATTTCAGTAAGTGTTTCACTCTTTGATAGCAACATTCTCCTTTGTTGTTTTCTTAGACTACATACTCATGACTCCTATTATTTTTACTACCATTAGTTTTTAACAACTAAATGATTTGAAACATTCTTTTAAAAAAAAAGGCATTTGTAGTCATTAGAATGTGTAAATATCTTATTTATTAATAAGCATTTTGCTTATTAGTAAGCATTTTAAGCCAGGCACGGTGGCTAATGCCTGTAATCCCAGCACTTTGGGAGGCAGAGGTGAGAGGATTGCCTAAACTCAGGGGTTTGAGAACAGCCTGGGCAACTTGGTAAGACCTTGTCTCTGCAATAAATCAAAAAATTAGCTGGGCATGGTGGTGCACACCTGTAGTTCCAGCTACTTAGAAAGCTGAGGCAGAAGAATCGCTTGAGTCCAGCAGGTCGAGGCTGCAGTGGCCAGGAGCTTGCCACTGCACTCCAGCCTGAGCGATAGAGTACGACTTCAACTCAAAAAAAAAAGAGAGAGAGAATAAGAAGGAGAAAGGGGGACAAGAAGAGGGGACAAAAGAAAAAGAAGAGGAAAGGAAAAGGAAGGGCTAATCTCCTCCTTGCCATCCTCCCTGTTGATGGCAGTGTCTTTCAGAGGGTGGCCCACAGACCAGCTGTATCAGATTTGGGGATACTGAAACATACACGTGACTGGTCCCCATGTACAGAATCGGCATCTGTGGGTGGAGTCTGGGAATCTTTCTATTATTGAGTTATCACAGGAATTTTGATAAGCACTACAGTTTGAGAACCACCACCAAAGGCAGGCTGACTGATGAACTTACTACAGTGACACCAACTATTGACTTGGAGCAGCTCACCTAGGCAAATATCCTAGGAGTAGATACAAAGCTTCCCAGGTCCGAAACCTCCCAATCCAAACTGGTTGAGGAAAGCAAAGCATTCCCATTGCATAGTGATTGATATAAATTAACTGAACTTGGAAGTATTTTTGTTATGAGAAATAAGTATTTGAATTGATTGTATTGAATTGATTGTATTGAACACTGGGTGATCATTATTAGCTAACATTTATTGAGTTTTTTACTATAGGTCAAATATTGGGCTAAGTGCTTTGTATGGTGAGTGCTATTACTTGTTTACACTTTACAAATGAGGGTAGCACAGAAAGATGACTGACAATTTTCAAGAGTTGAGAACCAGCCAGGCTCGGTAGCTCAACCTGTAATCCCAGTACTTTGGGAGGCCAAGGTGAGTGGATTGCCTGTGCCTGCAGGTTCAAGACCAGCCCAGACAACTTGGTGAGATATCTTCTCTACAATAAATCAAAAATTGGCCAGGCATGGTACCATGCGCCTGTAGTTCTGGCTACTTGGAAGGCAGGTCGACTCTGGGGTGGCCGTGAGCATGCTACTGCACTCCAGCCTGGGCGACAGAGTGAGACTCCAACTCAGAAGAAAAAACAGAGTTGAGAACCCACCCTGGTTACAGGATGCTAGGCAGAACAGAGCCTTATGTCCCCAGGAGACCTGGTCCCAGTGGGTGTTCTTTCCTGATCCACAAGCTCACCTAAAGCAGTGTGGACTCTGGGATAAATACCTACAAATGCCCAGGAAAAATGTTGCAGTGACTGTGAACTCAATACTTAATGAATGTTTGGGAAATGAAATATATCTTGGTCTGTCATCCAGAAATAGGGTTTATATTTTATCACTTTCTTTCACCCTTAGGTTCTTTTCTAAAAATGATAAAATAATAAATATAAAGAAAATTTTAAAAGCAAAAGCACCAGACAAAGGCTGCCCCCATTTTTCTTTAAGACAGGTAGAAAAAACACACCCAAGATAGTTATAAAAAATGAATGGTAGCAAAATCCCTATGTCAAATTATAGGAAATACACAATAAAGTCTACTCAGGCCATAATAACTTCCTTCCTCTGAAAATATTACCTTCCCCTGACACAACTGATTAGCTCAAGCATGGACAACTGACCAGACCAAGACCAATGAGAGTCCCTTTCTAGGGATTCAAAGAGAACTAACAGCAACTTCCAGTGGCCAGAGCTAAGGACATGCATTTGGGATTTGTTGGGCTATTGTGCACACAGGCAAGGGCAGCACACTTGTTCTCAGGGAGAGCGGAGTAAAGCCTGCATGCTAAGGTGGAGGTGAGTGACCATAGGCCCCAGACAGAGGACAGAGGAGGAAGACAGAGTCTGGGCCCCTGTCAGCCTCCCACTTCCTGCATCAGGCCCTCTCAAGGTCTCATCTCATTCTTGTTTTTTGGTTTTTTTGTTTTTTGCTGCAGCCAGAGCAGGTGAATTTCTGTTTCTTATGGCCAAAAAGACAGCTTCTGAGGACCCATGACCTGGCGGGTTAATCATATCTGGCTCTGGTATCTCTCTTGAAACAAGGATTCATCCATGGTTCCAGGTCACCCCTGGATCATATCCCAGCCTGCACCTGGCTTGCATGTGCCACCTACCTGTACCTCAGTTCAACCTCCCTGCACTCTCGACCTTTGTTTTTCAATGGTCCAATTAGACAACATTCGGACTCAGGTTAGGCCCATTGTCATCCCCCTGCCCAAGCTCCTTGTATTATTCATTGCTTTTGTATCCTCCCCCAATAGTACCCAGTTTACCCAGAGCAAACCCTGAATGCAATGCAATGCATACTACTGATTGACTGGAAGCCTGGTAAGAGTCATTTAGCTTCTTTCCCTACCCAAATTCACTGAACATTGAGGAAATGGCACCTCCAGAAAACTCGTGAAGTCAGCAGAAATCCTTGGTTTTATTCTTAGTCTGAAGGGACCTGGTGTTCCTTTTTCCCCACCTCTCTCCAACTCCCTTTCCCTTTCCCTGCAGACACACCTCGGCCATACCTGGGCTATAAATGGTGCCACCATTGCACCAATACGACACAGGGAGCCACTGGTTCCCATCCCCAGAGCACGCATTGTGGTAGGGTAGACCTGGGGGCGAGAGGAGAGGCAGAGAAAGCACTGGTTAGTTTACCTCTCTCCTTCCCCGAGTCCTCCTCTTCTCTTCCCTCCCCTCCCCAGGTCAGGCTTTGAGATAGATAGATAGATAGATAGATAGATAGATAGATAGATAGATAGATAGATAGACAGATAGATGATAGATAGAAAGAATATCAAACAGATTTACAGAATATTGAATAGATGATATTCATTTTCTCAGATATACAACTTTGAATTTTTGTGACAATAAACACCAGCCAAAAATAAGTACTTAGAATTTATTCTTTAAGTGAACCAATTCCCAAAAGTAGGTGTTTAATTGAATATTCCAAATAAAATCATAGAAAGATAAGCTGTGGAATCAGATAGAAGACTTTCACTTTAGGCTATAAGTATAAAAATGATTTTACTGAATGAAAAGAAAATACTCCTCAGAGAATAATGACCCAGCGAAATCTTTAATATGAACACAACAGCGAAAAGAACTGACTAGAGGGCCAGGCACCTGCTAGGCCATTCCCTGTGTTCACATTCAATTCACTGGCCTCTTTGATGTCACAGAATCATAAGGCATCTTCTACTTTCTTGTGGCAACTTTTTTACATTTATAGTAAAACTTCATCATTAGCACTTTACTGATTCAGAATTCTTATAGGAAAGGGCAGCAGTTTAATGTCGGCAAGTTTTAATAAATGAATAAAATTATAGGAAGAATATTTTAGGGGAAAAAATGGTTTCTCAAAATTTTGGAACAGTGCTATACAATACTGATAAAACAGTTTTTTATCAATTCACCAGGCAAAGCACGTAGTCCCTTTAGTTGGCCACATCTTGCTGGCCACCATCTGTTCAATGCAAATAGCAAAATGCTTTTCTGCCTCAAAGGACACTGCTATGCTTATAGGAAAAGCTCTGTGGGTGGGATGTCTTTATGGGGAAGTGTATTTATTATTTTCTGAAAAATGAGATTGCTGACTATGACTAAAAATAATGAATTCAGATGTGTGATGATGTCTCCTTTGCTATAATATTGATAAAGTTTTGTTCATGTTTTGAGTCATCTAGGAGATGGAATACTAAAAGACTTTCATTGTTAGGTATGCATCTGAAGTTTTAAACAATAGATATAAAAGATAAATACTTAGAAATGGCCCTCAAAATGAGCAAATTGCAAAATACATGTTTGATTATATATTTCAACTGCAATTCTAGAAGCACACTGTGTTGCACATTGATATTTTTGGTTCATAAATTCACAAAATAACTTTAGATTTTGCTAATGGAACTAAATGAAGTATTGTATATAGTTCAAATATCGCATAGTTTCCTATTTTATCTGTGTATGGGGGTAAAGAGAGTACTTTTCTCTGTGGTGTTAATGGTTTTTGACGTGTCAAATTCTTCTTCTGAACAGACTTCGCTGAGATGAGAATAAACACAGCTTTATCAGTCCCTATTGCACTGTTTCCTCTAACTCTAAAAATGACAAAACCCATTAAAACACTGTTTAATTTCCTATGCAAATATTGTTTCATTGATAGGAATATCAGCTCTTTAAAGTAAGGGATTTATGAGTAAATCCTCCAGCTCCTTCAGTTAGTGCCTTGCATGTGTATGTATTAATTTAATAAATTAATGAATAAAAAGTAAATCAAGGTTATATTCAAATTTAAGCTACACGTAGCAAATAACAGGGGAAGTGATCTTCCAAAAGAATAAAGGTGAAAAATACATTCTAATTTCAAAAAAAAAAGAGAGAAATGGGGGAGTTTTACATTTTGTCAGTGATGTGTTGCTACCTGGCTCTTCTGGAAGCACAGTGCTAGAGCAGTGAGCTGTTTTTTGCATGCATGCTATTTAGTTAGCAATGGAGAAGATCCTGCCTTTCAGAGCTTGGCTTTCAATAGACTGAACAGGAGAGGAGAAATTCCACATTAAACCAACCCTCTGGTGTCTTTTTAATAGAATGTCTTTAGAAAATCATCAGAGGTCAACAAGAGCCAGGGATGAATTGTTTGCATGGACACATCTCTAAGTAACCTACCTTGCAGGCCCTGATGAACCAGTCCCTTCCTGAAAACTAACCTCAGCTGTGTAAATGTAGATGGTGTTGAAGTTTGCTGCCACCAGAGCCCTCAGCATGAAGAGGAAGCCAGTTAGACCAGCACTGGAGAACAGGAAGCAGAAGGAGGTTATCAAAGGCCACATGAAATGCCTCATATGACCCAGCTCAAGTGCACATCCACAGATAACTCAGACCCTGAGGGAGGTATTGTTTATCAACTTGCCGGATTGTGGAGTCATAAAGCATGCCTCCTCCAAGTCCTTCTCCCTGCCCTCTCTATTCCCCCAAGTGCACCATTCTAACCTGCCCTCACCCCCCCAAGTAGCACACCTTCTGCCACCCCTCCCCAGAAAATGGTGCAGACAACTTGCAGAATAAATGGTACAGCTCAGGCCACTCCAGGATTGCAAATGAAGAGTGAAATGTTTTACAGCACAACTTTCTTGGCATTGGTCCAAATAATTTGGTAAGCAACTAGAGTCCCAATTCTCCAGGAAGCATATAATAATCCTAGATATTTGGGTGGGTAAAGTGAGTACATCAACACTGGCACCCATAGCCTGTGACAGGCGAAGGAGCACAGGTCAGTAGAAAGAGGGAAGTGGGCATGGTATGTACCAGGCAAGATTGTTCTAGTCAAATGAACAATGTGTTTTCTGCTGTCCCTGGTAAAAGGGGCTTGTCCCTGACCCACACTGAGCAGCATGGGTCAGGAGATCCTATTTTAAAGCAACTGCACCAAACATGTTTGTTTTGAAAAAACCAAAAAGAAAATACCTTGAAGTGCAAATGTTGAGGAGAAGGAAGAATAACGCTGTGCATCCCAAGGTAATGGAGAGGCTCAGTCGCCTTCCCAGGAAATTGATGCCCAGGATATTTAAAGGATTCACTAGAAAGCAAGCAGCAAAGACAATTTCTGGAATCTTGGAATGCAAATGGCATATATCAACACTGGCATGGATTCATCCTTGTCATTTCAGAAAGAAGCAACTTCATCCAAACCTCATGAGTATTCCAGCCAAAACCCAGTCTCATTGTCATCAATTTCATGACTCCTTCAATATACTTTTCCCATGTGGGTCCAAGAATGACAAGCACTGGTGTACACAAAGGATATGTTATGCCTAGGATGTATACAGTAGGTCTACTATAAACTGTCAACTTGCTAGGCTGATATTTTAAGTGTTTTATACTGTTTTCATCAAATTCAAGGTGCCGTTGATTTTTTAAGTACCATCATTTTATGTCTACTAAAACAGAAATCACGCTGCCAATTGAAATCTTCTAACAAGCTATTGTAAGATACGTCTCAATTTCCGAGATGTTAAAATGTGGGGGGAAATGCATATTAGAATTGAAATAATACAGCAATTCAGGGTTCTCCTCCTCCAGACTTCTCTTCCCCATACCAATCCAAACTGGAGACATGTCAGCATGACTTGGGGACTTATTCAGTTCCAGTAGGCAGGAGCTACATCACAAAGTCACACCCCTCTCTTCTGAGACTCAATTTTGTGTATTCCACCCGAAACAGAGAGAGACCCCACACACAGAAGAACATTTACGAGCAATTTCACCAACGGTGCTGAGGATCATGGTCTGGTAGTCAGAAGGGGCGAACAGGTGGCAGTGGCAGGGGCTCAGGCTCTCCTCCGAGTCACCCACAGTCACTACCACCTCGGACTGTGACTTTGAACCACAGACCAGGTCCTGCTCCAACAGCTCTGCACTGGCCAAGATAACTCCATAGTAGGCGAAAGAGATTCCCAGCCTGGAAGTGAGAAAAGAACATCATTAGCAAACACTGACAACAGACCTAAAGTACGTGTAGCACCTTGAGTGGCAGGGATAAGAGGGAGGGCATTCCAAGTGGAAGGCACAGAATATGGAAAGGCAAAAGGGGCAGGAAGCTCAGCTCACACATCATATGTAGCATTCATGGGAATATCTTTTGGGAGACAGATGCACACACTTTCTTCCATAAAGACGAAAAAAATTTATTTTAAAGATGTAGGGTACAATTCAGGATTAGGTATACAAATGTTCATTATGCAGGTGCCCTTGTTGATGAGGTATGCCCCTCTCTCCCCTAGCAGTTTCCTGCTACTGCCAATTCTACCCTCCCACCTCCACCCAGCAGTTTTCCACTACTGCCAATCTCTTTCTTATAGTATTATGATAATTGTTCAAGGTCCACTTATGAGTGAGAGCATGTGGAACTCAGTTTTCTGTTTTTGTGATAATCACTGAGTATGATAAACTCTAAATCCATCTAAGTTGCTACAAATTCCATATGTTTGTCCTTCTTTATAGCTGCATAATATTCCATTGTATTTATGTACCACATTTTTTTTATCCAGTCCAGTTTCAATGAGCAGCACAGTTGGTTCCATGTTTTTGCTATCGTGAATAGTGCTGCAATAAACATGTGTGCAGATGCACACATTTCTATTGGTCTAAACCTTGGAGTAGAATTGCTGGGCCATAGAATGTATGTTTTTTCAGCTGTAATAAGTACCTCTAAACAGGTTTCCAAAGTGGTTGTACAATTTGAACTCCAGTGAGCTGTGTATGAAAGTTTCAGTTACTTTTCATTCTTCTCAACATTTGGGATAGTCTGTCTTTACTTTTAGCCAGTCTCCAGGACTGATGAATTTGTAATGGCATCTTGTGGGTTTTAATTTGCATTTCTCAAGTGACTTTAATGTTGAGTATTTGTTTGTTTTTAGAGACAGAGTCTTGCTCTGTTACCCAGGCTAGAGTGCAGTGGTATAGCTCACTGCAGCCTCAGACTCCTGGGCTCAAGCGATCCTGCCTCAGCCTCCCAAGTAGCTGGGACTACAGGCACATGACTGACATGTTTATTTGATATACATTTTAGTTGAAGAGCTTGTTCAAGTCTCTGGCTTATTTCTAAACTAGGTTGCCTATTTTTTCTTGAAAAAAATTATACATATATAAGTCATATTATATTTGTGTGTGTATATGGGTGTGTGTATATTTGAGGGGGGACGCCCCCCAAAAAAGCAAAATTATTTTTTGGAAGGTGGGCCCTTGTAGTACAGGCTTTCTCCTTTAGGTGAGTGTTCTAGGAACCCCTTGGCATCAGCATACCAGCTAGCATTAATCGTGAGAGGCTACGTTCAGCGTCAGTGAATTTTTTTGAAAATTTTTTCAACGCGCTTGTCCATTTCATGGACAAATTTACAAGCATACCTACCCACACCATCCTGAATGTTTAGCAGTTTTTACCAAGAGTGGCATGACCCTCATGCCCTACCCTCCCTATTCACCCAATCTTGTCCCAAGTGGCTTTTTGTTTCCCCAGATGAAAAAAGACCTTAAAGGGAAATGTTTTGCTGCTGACATGAAAGAGGTGGGGGAAAAAATGGCAGAAGCACTAAAAACATCAAAATTGACAAGCTCAAAAACTGTTTTGAGCAGCGGAAAAAGCATCTTGATAGGTGTATTGCATCAAATGAAGAGTACTTTGAAGATGACTGAAGTTTAAAAATGTAAGAATACATACGCAATTTTTAATAAATAAATTCTAGAGTTTTTTGGGTCCCCCCTCAAGTATATGTATATACATGTATATATATAATTTGTTGGAAATACATATGGCAAATTCCCTTTCCCAGTTGGTAACTTACCTTTCAGACTCTCCATGATAACTTCTGGCACAGAGTTCCTAATTTAATATAGTAAAACTCAATTTTTTCTTTATAGTTAGTACTTTTGGTGTTCTGTTTAGAAAAGTCTTTGCTTACTCAAGACCATGGCTGCACATAAATTAAACACAGAGAGGACCACAAGAGTCTATTTCATTGAATCTGATTATTGGTGGCCTCAAAGGATCCTTTTCGGTCATGTGGTGAAATAAAAGACCAAGCTGCTGAAGGTTAGGAAGCAAGCTCATAAGAAAAAGTTTAAAACTGGTCATGGACAATTAGGGCTTTTTCCTTATTTTAAATTGTACATTATCTTTTTTGTGTGTGGAAGTGGTGGTATTAATAGAAAGATAAGACATTGATAGCGGTAAATTTTGGAATCTGCCTTGCATTTTTCTTTTCAGTAGCACTCAAATGTCTCTTTATTTACAACTAGTTTTGAAATAGTTCTACTCTTACCATATGACCCAAATCTGTAGTGTAGTCCGTAAATATTTAGCATCCAATAGGTCTGCAAATCTTCCTCTTTTGTCCTGGAATGACAAAAAAGGGGACAGAATACATTTAGCAGGTTAAGGATGAGCAAAAGTGTCTCCAGTATTTTAGATTATAGAAGACAAAGATGCCGGGCTCGGTGGCTCAGCCTGTAATCTCGCGCCTTTGGGAGGCTGAGGTGAGTGGATTGCCTGGGCCCGCGGGTTCGAGACCCGCCTGGGCAGCGAGACCTCATCTCTACCATAGATCAAAAAATCAGGCGGGCGTGGTAGCGCGCACCTGTAATTCCGGCTACTTGGAAGGCTGAGACGGAAGGATCGCTGGAGCCCAGCAGGCGAGGCTGTGGTGGCCGGGAGCGGCCACTGCACTCCAGTCTGCGCGACAGAGTGAGACTCCAACTCAAAAAAAATAAAATAAAATAGAAGACAAAGATAATACAGGAATATGGTAGGGTGAGATGACTACTGAGTTCCTAAGAGTACAACTAACCCAAATCCATAGATAATTTTTTTTTAACGCATTCATCTCAGCCAATTAGTCTTTTGGCTTTTTATTATCATTGGCAAGTACCAGAACAATTTTTTTTTTTTTTTGGAGTCGGAGTCTCACTCTGTCACCCAGACTGGAGTGCAGTGGCCTCTCCTCGCCACCGCAGCCTCGACCTGCTGGACTCGGGCGATCCTTCTACCTCAGCTTTTCCGAGTAGTGGGAACTACAGGCGCGCGCTATCACGCCAGGCTAATTTTTTATTTTTATTGTAGAGATGAGGTCTCACCAAGTTGCCCAGCTGGGTCTCGAACCCGCGGGCTCAGGCAATCCACTCACCTCAGCCTCCCAAAGCACGGGATTACAGGCTGAACCACTGAGCCCGACTATGTACCAGAACTATTACACTTAAGATCCTAATCTTTCACTCCTCCTCTCCTCATGCACTGGTGCAGGGGTGAGGAGGGCAGGAGGACCCATAAAAAGTAACGGTAAAACTGATGGGGGATTCTTCTAAAGTTATCATTAAAATAAAAATCTTGTATTAAAAAAGAGTATGAGACTGTATGAGAAAACAATGGCATAAAATTGAAAAGGAGACAAAATGCCCAACTCTTCTTTCTGTCTCTAAGAGGCATAGTTACCAAAGTTCCTGTTCACTGTCAAAGCCTATTCAACACTTTTGGAGAAACAATAAATAAGGATGAGTTATGTATGACTGTGTAGTAATGGCTTTTTGTGTGAAACTAGGAATACTTCAGAGATGGGTACTCTGTTAAAAGCCAACCACTCTTTCCTCATAAGTAGACTGGGCTTACAGTCCCCCTAGAGAGACTAGGAATGAGATCTTGGGTGTCCTGGAGAGCTTGAAGGGAATGCAGAGGTCTTTTGCTCTGGTGACTGTCAAGACTCCGTTCCCAGAGGTCACAGTGAGCAGAGTGGAAGAACAAACAACTCCATTTCAATCTGCTTTTTATATTAGGGCTCTGGACACTCATTGAAAAACCTCTGATCTTGTTCTAGCCTCCAACTTTCCAACACAGAATATGTGGCCCAGAGAAGATAAGTGACATGCCTAAGGTCATACAGCTGTTTAGAGGCAGAGCCAGCATGGAATTCAGGTCTCCTGAGCAGCAGTCCTGAGCCTTGCACTTTTTCCTCTCTGCCATGACTCCTTGGGCTTAAATGTGACTCTGACCCCACTCTTCCCGAGTGTCACTAGAAGGCCAAAGCAGAGTCCACTGTGAACATAGTGAACCATAAATTTTATCCCAGGAAGCCGTTTAGTTCTGAACCTTTGGCTACAACCCACATGGGAAGACTCACCCACTTCCCCTCCCAGTGTGGCCCTTCTTCAAAGCCTCCCATCTGGGCAACTTTGGAGGAAAGCTGCAGAGGTTCCCGTTCCTCGTAGCACCCAGTCCAGCCTCCAGGACGAGGCATCTGACAGCAGCCGAGCAGACCAAGCCCCACTGCACATTCCCACCTCTGCTCTCAGCTAGCATCTCCTCCAGCTTATCCTGCTGTGGCCACATGACCCTTAGTACCCCTTCCCTCTACGAGGGGTTACTCTTTTTTGGTGACCAATCCATGTCCCGCTTGACCCCTGAAGTCAGACTGTCCTGGCTCAGTCCTCTCTGCTCCGACCCCACACAGGCTGCAGCTTGCACTGCTCACCTGGTTCTTAGCACCTGGGCTCTGTTTTGTTATTGATTCTTCTATATGTGGTGGTTTCATTAGCCAGATGGTGAGACTCTGGCCGGACTGAAGGCCGGGTCTATTGCTCGTGGCTCTATCCATAGGGCCCTACTCAATAGATGATTGTGGAGAAGATCAAGATTCTTTAATGGGCATGAAGGATGGAGGCTGCAAGCTGAGGCTTGAGAGGAAAGGCGTGGGGAGAGGAGGAGAAGGGAGAAGGCCGGAAGAAGCAGGACGGGGAACAGAGGATGGAGGAGGGAGAGGTTAGGAAGGAGAGGAAAAGTGGAAGAAGTAGGAGGTAGAGGGCGGAGGCCAGACAGAAGAGGGAGGATGAGGGAAGAGAGGATGCAGGACGTAGAGGGAGGATGGGAGGTGGGAAAGGGGAATATAAGTGGAGGATGGGATATGGGGGATGGGGGATAGAGGAAGAAGGGAGGAAAAGGAGGAAAAGAGGAGGGAGAGAGGACGCCTTTCTGACCTCAATGTTCTTCAGTCCTGGTGTTGCAACTCCTGGGTCCAAGTCATACAGCACACTCCAAAAATGGTTGTCCTTGGTCCCTCATGATCACACGGCTGCCATGGTTTGGAGTTAATTGTCTCTGCTAGGACTTTTTTCTTTGTGTAACCATTTTTATTTTTTATACTATTGACAATCAAAATGTCATAGCCACTTAAAGGTTATGTTCTATTCTCCATAAAGTATAATAGTTTCCTTCATTTAATCAGTTGCCTGGCAACTAATTAGTCCTCCCAGCATGCTTTGCATGGCAAGATGTGATTGTCAGTATCTCAGTAGGTAGAAGTTGGCTGATGCTGTAATAGTAGCTTCCTGAACTCTGAACCCACAAGAATTTATTTCCAGAATTCAGAAAATATACTAGAATAGTAGACTCAATCTAAACCCTTTGGAAGAAAGCTCAGGTTTCCCGTTCCACAATTTAGTTTTTAGATATGTGTAAGAATTAGGGGAAACACTCCACAAAACAGAATGAGAATAACTTACCAAAGTATAATTATGAGTATGGTGCAGGATTGTGGTAGTCAATCTTCATGGCGTTTGCATGATTATTGAGCACACACTACCTCACACTGAAAGTGCTGGCCAGGTGGCAGTGGGATGAAAGGCATCTGTCATCAGTGATGTCCTGGGAAAGCAGTCAGAATTGCCCAGTGTAGCCTACATCTTGCCTGCATGTAGGACACTCAGATATCACTTGCCCTGCTGTGGTCACTTGATTCCCAGAGTATAAAGTTTTGGGGGGGATGGGGTGGGGAGGATGCCCAAACCATCTGGGATGCAGAACAAGAGCTGTGAACTTGGGAGCTCTTCTCCATACTTGCTGGTGTCCTTGCTTTGTACTCACTCCCACCTTATACAGAGACTAGCTAATGTCCATCCATATTGCCACCACCCCTAGAGAAAGGTATGGTAAGGGTTCAAGCACTCCTGCACATTCCTGAGAGGCCCCTTGTCTTCTATGCACTCCCAGTAAGTAGCTTCAGGGGATCCTTGGCATCCCTGCAGACTATGCCCAAAGATGTAAATACCTATTTACTCCCTTTCTTAATAGTCATAGGTTTGAACAATATAGTATCAATGTGATCATAAGTCTTGTGATCTGTATAACTTTTGCATCAATGTAATCTTAAGTCTTGTGATTTGCATAACTTTTGTAATGCATGATGCCTTAAGTCTTATAAACTTTCTTTACTCTAAAAGTCACTATCTAAATGTGAAATGCAGCAGGAATTTAAGTTCTATACAATGCTCTGCTGGTCATGTGGCTAATGTATAGGTACCAGCAACTCTGAACTATAAAAGTGGACTGTGAGACCTGAAGGGTGGGCAGAACCATTTTAGAAACACCTTGAATCTGGTTCTGCTCCCCGGATTTGAATTCAGAAATAAATCTCTTTATCAGTGTCAAGGAAGAGCAGTTGAATTTTACTTGACCCATTAAGCATAACAATGTCGACCGTGTTGCAGGACCTTGGTTGATGGAATCTCCTGATAGAGATACCCTAGCAGCTGCCAGAACCACTTTGTTCTCTGGAGACTCTGGAGAGAAGTCCTGCTGACCAGAACCAGCCTTTGATGAACTGGTAAGAAAGAGGCCTTGCCGGATACCCAATCTTGCAAAGTGGATGTGCTTAAGCGAACCCTGCTGGATATATGCAGGGGGTGGGAGAAGTTTTCTCATTTGGGCTCTCCGGAACCATTTTGTAGGCTCCAGAGGAATGCTGAATTGACCCGTTAGTGCTTTTGTTTTTTGCGTGTATTTGAATTCACTAAGAGAACTGGCTAGTTTGTTATAGTATGTTTGACAGGACATGTCATAATTTTAAAACTTGATTGGCGTGCATTTCTTTTATGTCATTTTATGTTTTCCTGAGTGTTGCTATCTCCCTTTGTTTGTGTAGTATTTATGTAGGTGGTGAAAACCCACAGGAGAATAGGGGACTCCACCTTTATGAACACAGACTCTGGTCTGGATCAAAGATAAGAGGTACTCTTCCCTTCATTCTGTGCAGACAGACTCCCTTAAGTGACTTAGGGACTTGCAAAGGTGTCAGGGATCAACTCCCATGACATGTAAGGGCCTCATAGGGACCTCTCCATTCTAGTTATATAGGACTCTGGGGGCTGTGGAAGGCCTCAGAGTTGATCTGATGCTCATCAGACTTGAATCCACGCCAGATCCCGGAAACAGTGATTGGAGGGTTGGAAAAGGTCCTAGAGGAAGAGGAAGTTGAAAGGGGCTCCTAGTGCTCCTAGTGGCTGCCCCATTTGGGGGGCATGCATAAGGGCTGGTCACCTGGTGCCCCGGGATCCCTTGAGTGCTCTCAGCAC